GACGGCAGTCCTTTGTGGAGGCAAGGACTTACTGATAGTTTCATACGGTACTTACACCGAAAATAATTCATCATTTACTAAAAATGCAATCGAGCAACTGTCTGCAGATAAGAGTGAAAATTTTATCTATCCTCACATCCTAAGACCACCTATTGCCATCACAACCAAATTTGTGGGAGTCTCCTGACCGTGCTCCCCATTAAAACTGTGATCTGAGTTTCCTGTCATCTTCGTATCTTTGTGAAAGGCTTGGAATGCTAATAAAGACAAAATAAAAGGCGTCAGCCCCGTGGAATGCACGGTCTGAATTCCATGCTGTTAAGTCCAGAGTTTGCTCTAACCATTTTTTAAGGAATTTTGCAGAAGTCGGTTGACTAGACACTATTATAGTCAAACGCTTCACATTTTTAGCATTTACCAGACAACGTTCTTATCGACTATTCGTATGTTCTTTGAAATACTTCTTTTTAAGTGAAAAAATCAGTCAAGACGAAGAAGTTAAATGTCGCCATTATTCGTTTATTATACTGTAATTCGCATGTTTCTTAACAGAAACTATTTAAATGGCTGACAGCCCTACGTGGGTATGTTTCATGTTTTTGTGGCCTCTGCTTCGTGTGTTTAGTCTAAAAATCCCAAGCTATTTTCTATCAAGTCGGCATCTTCCTTCGGGTTCGAATTCTCGCTTCGAATTCTGGTGCTAGGAAGATCTCGATGACCCCAATGTTGCACGTTAGCACGAAGCCCTTCCGAAACTTATAACTTCAGAGCTTTGGTCTCTTACGCAGGAAATATCGCCACTCGGACCTGGCTTGGTGAAAGCATACGTCTGAAACTTTAGAAAGGCTTTGATACTTTGTGTGACATTCCGTCCATTCATAATAAGCAATTACCTCTAATCTGGTTCTATACTTCTGCTCCGGTGTCAGTCTGGGGTTATTGAAAGTGTCTGTTTATTCATCAGTTGATCCGTCTGCATTCTTTATTTTGTCCAGCTTCCCTCCGGATCCCTTAATCTCGATCAGTTGGATCGTCCCTCGGGCCTACTCCACCTGTGGTTCCTTCTGGTTCATGGACTAGCCGACGTCGTCTGGAGTTGCCCAGACCAGCGCATGGCTTTGGATCTGCTGTTTGAACTTATTCTTACTCCGATTCAGGCCTTCAATGAGAGGCCTGTAGGTGAAATGCCGTCGGACCTGTCAATTGGACTTTGCAACAGCCTGCCTATGGTAGGTCACCGGAGAGTTTTTTTAGCGAGATTCAGTCGAAATTGCGTTTTATACCCAACCTCAGTGTTTCATTTTTCCACACTGCCACCTAAGACTACCGTGAACACTTTTTACTGAGGAAGCGAGTGAATGAAAAGGTAGTGTAAATCATGTAACGCATGCTCATCTTGGCTTCGCAGTTTTTGGCATAGATCTCTGGTGAAATAGCATATACGTTTGGAAATTTACTTCTTTCTCTACTTTATTTCGTATTTTTGCACCTCCACTTTGCACTCTCTCCTTACAAACTCAAATTCACTCCATTAATTATTCTGTCTCAAACGACTTTCCCGGCCCTATTCAGTTTGACAGGGTGCGCTATGCGATGCCCAACTCTGCTGCTTATTCATGGACGACTACATCAACCAGTGAGTGCCCTGTCCCGGTGGGGCCAACATTTGTCATCTTCCTGACCAATCATATTTTACTCCCGAAGCTGCAGGTTTGTTGTATATAGTTGCCGCTTTTTTAATCCATTTATGATCCTCTTCTATATCTTCTCTACTATTGCCGTGCTCTCCCTGCTGTCTGTCTTCATCTGACATGACGTTGGCATAACACCTGTAACTCGAAAAATTAGCATCGTCTAAATCGGTCACGTCTCAGAGAATACATTACTCTCTCTTCTAAGCGCCTCGTATCGGATAGGCATAATCAGTTTTCTATTTTTCATTAGACATGAAAAGAAGCTGAGCATTGTAGAATCCCTCAATAGCTTGATGCTGG